AAAAGGCCAAACAACTTGATCCAATACATTGTTTATACACAGAAAGGTTATCGACGAAAAGCATTTGATCATTCACAGATCTTCTTCTATTAGAGAAAAAATCATAAAACAGGTTATGTTCTTCATTCTTTCTCAGCACGATTTCTCATAAAAGTCTTCTTCTTCCAATACTACATTTGAAGTGATTCTTCGCGAAAAATAAAACTGATTCGCGTTGTGTTTGTATCAAATACATGATCATATGTTTAGCTAATTGTCAATATATCGTATTTATTTAATCACAAAAACGTAATGGATTAATCAATACAAAAAAAATAGACAGAATTTAAAACGAGCATATCTATTTGATGTTCTTTTGGTTAAGCCATAAAATCGAAGACATTGACAGAGGAATATTTGGGAATTATCCAGGTGACTTGCTTCTTTTATACACTTTTATACACGTCCTGAAATAGAGTATATAGAGATATATACATCAAACACCTTAAATTTAAAAGTTTGTTTTTACGTTTGCTTTATCCTTACCCAAAAGTCGTTAATGGTGATGAACAGACAGTCGAATGCAAGAAATTGCCTAAGCAAGCAATGGAACAAGCCGATGAAGAACATGTGAACGATAATGCCGATCCGACATACGATGTTCGTGATGGACAGTAACAATCACATTTATAATACGTATGAGCACAATTGGTAAGTAAGAAAGCGATAGCAAGAATGAGAGCAAGCATGATGATGATTTTTTCTCACACTCACATCAAAGTAAATGAATAGGCTTCATATACAATTCTATTTTCTATTCAATGATATTTCTTCTATTTGCCTACATCCAAAGGCGTGTTTTTTTTCTTCGCTCTTCCTCTTTTATTCAATATTTGATTCATCCAGCATTTCTCAACATGCTCTCAGACACTTGAAGTATTAATAAAAACTGATTACTATTCATTTGTCGAATGGTTCTTATTCTGTGATTAGCACCCTGAGCAGTCTTAATCCTAATCGTTCACAATCAAGGTCTACTATTTATCGTATTTGTACCGTAAATATTGATTGAAGTACAAGAAATCAATACTTGATTTTCGTATTACGGCAACAAGAACGAGATCAGTATTGTTGTGAACGGGCGTCAAAATGAAAACAAGGATCATATATAAGTGAAATAAAGTATTTGCATACTATCCATTCAAGAGATCATGCGTATCCATATCAATGTAGCCAAATCGAGAATCATCGGCATAAAATTCTCGACGTACAATCATAGGAAAATGATCGTGTCTGAACAAGATCTATCAACAAGTTTTACTGCCTCATCGGACGTAGCTTTCAGGATAATTGTCGAAAAAGAAATCCTCAAATATTCCTCTATGAATTTTACAATAGAATATGTGCAATAGCGGAACACTTTCCCAATTTGTATTTCATAAAACATGATTGACGGATGTGAATGTCAGTATGGCTCTCATTTTCATCAATACCTGCACTTTTGCCCTTCAGCTAACTGTTTGTAACCTTAATTAATCTTCCACCATGGTGACAGATTACTTGTGTACAAATTTTGATTCGACATAAACCACGTTGGTATTTGTTTGCTTCAGATTCCATAGAATAGGATTGAGTGAGTCCACAACTATCAGATGTAGAATTTAATTCTGAACAGAACTGAATCAATGAAAAAGTCAAGATTGAAATATTTACATTGTTTCGAATGAAAAATGACAAAGTAGCTGGTTATCAATGAGTTTGTTCCCAAGTATTTCTTTGAACAAAGATAGAAAACAAAACCTAGGAGCTTGTTATGAGGCATCTATTATTCGAGTAGAGAGATCTGAAGAACTGAACAAACAAGCAAGCAATGAAAAACTCCAAGGAACATCTAATAATCTTAACCGTTACTGTATTAGCTTGTATCGATGTATTGTTATGGGGCATATTACTTGATGCTCTTCACTGACCTTCACTAAATGTTCTGATTCATAGCGCAGAGGAAATAGTTACAATTATAATTCGAGTATAATAAAAATTGCAAATATGACCATAATTACAGTGTGAAGATCATTAAGAATGACGAATATGAAAATGGCACCATAGATATTCGAATGCACTACTAGTGTATTCGCACACGCTAGTAATGGATAATATATCTTGATAGAAAGTTTGAACAGTGCCATGTAGGTACCAGACAATAATGACACATACAGAAACTCGATGGTCAAGTTTGATGCTACCCAATTGACAGTATTCACCGCTTTGGGACGTGACTAGAAATTGACCGATAGTAGACAAACATGTGAATGCCAAAGAAATCACGCCACAGCTACTAGAAAAAAGATATTTACTGGCCCCATTGATTATTATGGTTACAATGTTCAATGTAATAGAGAGTAAAATTTTCTGCGTTCTAGACAGACGATTGTAAATGGACCATATCTTTTATGTCTAACTAAATCATTATTTATTCTTCTGACTGGAATCTCAAAGCAGAAATCTACCTAAAAGTATTCTATCAAAGGTCAACATTTAGACACTTCATCAAAACAAACCATATAAATTCTCTGTAAGTATGAAAAAAAGATTTATAAAATCAACTACCTTTTTTCCATTTTGAATCTCTCTGTCTCAAAATCTTAATTGGGACTAACTTGATACTGATGCCAATGCTTACTTGTCAAAGAGCGGCTACACATGTCTGACGCAAAGATTCTGTAGAATAGTGCATTCATTTTCGAAGACTCGACTTCAGATCGTAAAAAGCGATGAAATTATTGAGGAATGTACCAACTTTTTATATCATAGAAAAAAGGCATTTGAAGAGACAAAGCGAGAAAAAGAAATTTTGTGAAATTAGATTATTGTTACTGTGCTGGTTTCATACGAGAAAAACAGTCCCGTCTCGAAGAATGATAACGAAACATAGGATTTTAAAACAATACCGTTTTATTTTACTGATTAAACACATTTTGTTGCAAAAACTTATGAAAATGTCATTTTCTAGCTGATGCAGTCAGGCACTTGGTGTTTTGACAATAGAGCTATTTTGGAAGACGTCAATGAATTGTAATTGAATCAAATCTGCTAAATTGTGAAATTATAATAGGAGTGAATACTGAGATGAACATGAAAAGTCACTCGTTTGAACGAACAATGGCCAGTGTCATGATTAAATACATCCAAGAAACTAAATATCCATTTTTCTTTGTTGTAATTGTCAGACATCATCTTACTATGGGTGTTTATCATCACAGTAATTAATCGCACAGAAAAGTAGTCGACTGATTCGGATTATCATTTCCGCTTTATCAGATTATTCAAATAATTTCAAATAATTTTAGCAAGTGATCCACGTCGCTTGGCGTAACAAAAACTGTCAGCCATCCGTTGTCTACCATTCTGTGAACAGCATTCAACCGACGGTTCTTTACCACTACTCTCCTTATCCCTCTCTCCGAGGCGTCTCATTTACGAAACATAAAATCGAAATTCAAAAACTATTGAATTGAATTTCAATTGTTACAATAGAAAACAACCTAAAGTATTCAATTTTCGTTGTTTCAATTTCTAAAAAGAATTACTGATAACAATTTCAGTAAAATTTGTATCTTCAGTTTTAGTTTTGACTAGCTGTAGTTTATAGAGTTCGTTAAAAATAGAATTTAATTATTTCTATTTGATGGGCTGTCATTTGCAGAGTGCACTAAGCTAGTGATTTTCTTTTTTTTCTTAATTAGCTGAAATTTATAGAGTTCGATAGACATAATTGTCACTATGAATGTCATGAGCTTTTTTTAAAAATTGAACACACTATGTAATTATCATTATAACCTGGAATTAATATCGAATGGACACTAACTAAGTAATCGAGATCCAACAGCATTTCTATACAAAAATCGAAAATACAAAAAAGCAATATTCAAAATAAGCGCACTGTGAAATATATATATTGGTGAGCATCTTCTCTTCACACACACACACACCAATCCACCCGAATTGCATCCTTAATAAATATTATTGAATTTTCACTTTAAATTATGATAAAACGTTTTTGAACCCTGGCGTCAAATTTAATCAAAACTCTTTTTAGCTAAGCTCATATCGATGACCTTTGCTAGCGCATTATGAGTTTTACCTCACCAACTAAAAAAAAACAATCAAGTATTCGATATTTATACAAAATAGTTAGATTTCTTTCACAAAGCTCGACTTACACTCAACCAATAATCATAATTTCTTTTAAGACTTAGATTACTTCCGAGACCAGTTATTATATGCATATAATTTTATCCTATATAACATTTGATAATTACTAGCTATAGAAAAAGCATCATATCATTCCTCATACCATTTACAGTTTTCTAAATATCACCTCCATCAAAAAGTCCTTGGATTAAAAGTACATGCCCTTTATATATTTTACTAAACCTTTGAAGATAAAAAATCTATATTGAACAAAATCTTAATGTCCTCTATAAATTGCAGGAAGTTGTAATTAAAACTTTTTTGAAATAATTTATTTTTTATATGTGCTTTCATTAATCAAACTGTTAAAATTTAAGTATCAAATTCAATCATTTTACTCAAAACTAATAAAATCATCAACTTGAAGTTAATCGAAGATTTAAAACTATTTCATCCTAATTTAAGTTAATTTTCTTCATGTTCGTAAATGAGAAGTAGCCCTTTTCCTCTATTTCTCTCATTTTCTTTATATTGTTCTTTCTATATTCATCTCTATCTGTTTTGCTCTCGTCTATATACGCCTATGTGGTGTTTGAAGTATACACTTGTTCGAGATATGAATTAGGTGAATAAACATGATTATAGAGAGTAGCGGTAACCTACAGATTCAATTTGTCATTAAAACTTACGCTTTTGTCACTAGTAAAAATAGTCACGATATCACTCACAAATTAGAAGTATAATTAGAAAAGACAGATGCATACACAACTGTTACTGAAATAACGAAGATTTTTTTGCTTTCCATTTTTTTGACATCCATGTCGAATACAATGTCTCCCAGTATAATTTCTACACTGACGGCAGTTACCTTTGGAATAAATCGATATTTCTCAATATTTGTTCTTTTGTTCGGTACAATCGGCAATGTTTTGAATTTGATCATATTTCATCAACCAAAGCATCGAACAAATCCATGTGCTGTTTATTTTTTCTATGCATCAGTTGCCGGCCTGATTGCGCTTTATTCAGGTTTAATCAGTCGAGTTTTTGCCACTTTCTCACTTGATATATCAGCAACCGATGCTACAACTTGCAAATTACGTGCATTCATCGTTTGGGTATCAACAACGGCCTCATCTTGGCTTTTGACTTATGCCACTGTAGATCGATATTGTATAAGTTGTCGTGATGTGCGTCGTCGTAATCTAAGTAATCTTCGTTTCACACGCAGATTAATGATCTTTGCGGTTGTCGGCGGATCGTTGATATTTGCCGAAACTTTCTATTGTTATGTGCCAAATCTTGAAAATACTCCATTGACATGTTACGGTCAAGATATGACGTGCCGTTTGTATAATGAACTTGCTTCAGCACTTGCATTCGTTTTTATACCATCAACTATTATGCTAATATTTGGATATGCAACCGTACAAAATGTGAGAAAATTACTTTGTTCAATAGCACCAACGGCTAGTACACATGGAACAGCAATGACAATCAAGAAGACAGATCGACAATTGATTCAAATGTTAATTGTTCAAATTATTCTATTGACTATATTCAACATCCCATTGGCTGTTCATCGTCTCTATATGACATCGACATTAAGTTTTCCGAAAAGTTTGTTGAGGACTACAATCGAAAATCTTTTTTTTCAGCTATTTTATCTTCTGAGTTTTATGAGTTTTGGAATGCCATTTTATATCTACACATTAACCGGGACTGTGTTTAGAAATGAATTTATGAGTTTAGTTCGATTAGTTTACCGAAAAATAAAAATAGCAATATGTTAATGATTGAAAAGTCAGTGTAGTCATAACTGTTTTGTTAAACACGCTTATTAATAGATGTTGAAGCATATATAGCGAGGAAAATGATATTCCTGCCTTCCCGATAGTTTTAAAGTTCAAACCAGCTGAGACCTTTTCTCTGGCAGATTGTCAAAACAATAAAAGTTCACATTTTTGATACAATAAGGTCATTGAAAACAACGCAGTTTCATCAGTTTCTTTTTGTGAGTTTTTCATGAACCAAATCTTTTTTGGAAAGTTTCAGAAGCAACGTTTCTAATGAAAGTCCTAAGCGAAGTATTTTATAAGCTGTATTCATTCTAGCAAAATGTACAAGCGCTCTAGTTTATCGTAGAAAAATTGTATCATAGCGTATAGAAAACAAAGCTCGTTTACACGATTTGTTAAAAAACGTTAGAAGAAAATTATAAGTTCTTCATTTAACTATTAAATTCTATTTGATAATGAAAAATATGATAAGTAACAAAATATTTTTATCTTTATCTTTGTATATCTAACGGTAAGAGATATTGAAGGATAGAAGAAAAATATCATTCTAAAATAATAGAGTAAGTTACATTTATTATTTTTCCATTTAAAAATTTATTTGTTGTCTTTAAAACAGAGCGTTATTTTGTCTAGTAAATGGTATCGTGTACTCACTACTTGTAGCAGTATGTGACACAGCGCGTATATCGGAAATACTAGATGTTTTGTACATTTTGCTTCTGCTTGGCACCTATGTCATTAGAAATACTCTTCAGAAGATTTCATGTGCCTACAAAGTTTTGCATATTTTAATCCCATGTGAACTATACTCAAACTTTTTTCCACTTTAATTATCGTTGTACACATGTTGCTAATAAATACTACTGTTATTGTGATGTAGAATTTGATGTTGTAGCTAAATTTCGTAAACTTTTATGAATAAAAAATTACGTCAACTAAATAAAAACTCACTCTTCTATTATTCTGCTAATCGTTTTACACTTCTACAATCTGAATTGCTATTGCAAGAATACATGATTGACATCTTTCTAAGTCAATAATCATATAAAGATCATTCAACATCTTACACGACATTACTGAAAACTGCATGCCGTAAGATTCATTCTGTAAGAGGCGTTTGAGTTGAAGTTTTTCGTTTATGTCGGCGCTTCTGCGTCGCTTATCAAACGAAAGATGTTAATCAAACAGCATATATTATTATCGTGTTATTGGTCGTTATGCTTTGTAATTTGATTGGTTCTTCTTATTGATCAGCAATAAATTGACTAGCATGATAGTATTTACTAGGAATATTGTTATTGTTAATAAAGAAAGCAAATCGAAATTATCGGCTTGGTTAGCAGAGGTGATTTGACATAGTTAGCGTATGGTTACATGTGCTGGACACAATGGAACAATTCCTATAGTGCTCCAAGAGTTCTTTTAGTGGTGTTGTGATTGATTTAACGAATTTTGTTTGAAATGTTTCTTTTTTGAGTTTGGTAGCATTTTGGCCAGTATAGGGTTCAACGTACATAATTTCTTGGTAAGATTGATATTGTTTCGCGTGTCAACTATGAGCTCTGTTATTATTAGTGGTGGTTGATGAAATGATCCATATCGTCAAAATTGTCTCAGTTGCGATGATTAATCGTGCTTTGACAAAAACATCGACGATTTGCAACAAACTTTAACAGTGAGTATTTATGCACAAAATTTGGTTTGTCTTTTATTTATATAAATCTCAACAACACAATCAAAAATAGGTGTTTATTTGGAAAAAAAGAATTCTGAGTATTGGTGTGACTCAAGGAAAGGTCCACATCCCAATCAATTGATGTCGATACAGCTCAAATTGCCCTTTCAGATAATCATTTCGATGACCGGTCTTCTTTTTCTACAGTCTGGCAAGTCTTCCAGCAAATCTCCCTGTTTTGAGGCGTTCGTGCTTCGTGCAATTTTAGTGTTTTATTTTTTAGGAAAAACTCGTCTTACATTCTCAGTAGATGAAATACGTTTTGCCTTAGCGATATCGACACACTATCCAAGAGTACTAAGTAAATTAGAAAATGAGCATGTCTTTATGTTAACATGTGCCCTTACGCACGGACAATAACAATGAAATTTATGTTTTATGAGAATATCTATCGATACAATTACAATCTAATGAGCTATTTTCAGGCCAAAATTTCTTTCACTAATAGATTTCATGTTGGTTTGAATGTTGTAAACATTTGAGTCAAAATGTATGATTTTCTCATCAGTAACTGGATTTTCAAACAAAATCACATTCATTCTACCATATCGTAACTAACGAAGCCACTATTTTGAGAAGAAAATATTCGTTTTGACTGAAACATTTGAAACAAAAAAATATCTACTGCCTAGATTGTACAATCACTTGGAAAAGTTCCCTCATGTGCGGATGAGACTAAGTCTCAAGAATCATTCATATGATTTTTGACTTTTCTTATTGTAATTCTATGATAGAAGAGTCAGGTAAACACAGGAAAATGCAGACATAGACATCAAATCATGTGTTACTACGAATAAATTGATGATTACATTTGATTAGTGCGGAAAAACGTACCGCATAGAAGTTACAAAAAAGTATCGGGATGTATTTCAATCTTGAAACTCACAAAATTACATTATCGAAAAGATAAGTGCACCATTCAGTAGTCATATGACTGCTCTATATTTTCGCTAATGAAGCCATTTCTTTGTCACTTTTCAACTCAGAGCGCGACACAAAATAAAACACAGCTAATCAATGGATTTCCATATTGTATCCATATGTCGTGGCACCTTTTCATGCCACGATTGAGTATCTCAATCAAAAGAGTTGAAATTTGTATGGAGTGTGCAACTAAGTGAGTACCATCTGTGGTTGAAATTCCAGCTTTTGATGTCTTAATACTATTGAGATAATCGAGACGATTCGTCGAAAATGTTCGTGCGTCATATTTGGTAATGTCGATCAACATTTTCGATGGCTTGATTGAAAATTTGTAAAGAAGAATATTCTCTTGATTCAGAACGGAAGTACAGGGTGTACCATAAACATTTTCACAATGAAAAAACCCAATGTCTTCAAATTGCTTCAATTAATTTGTCTAATTCTTTCCCTGGCTATAAAGTAACTTCAGAATTGTTTTCATATGAAATCTGTTAAAAGATACTAAAGAAACAGCTGTTGTATGCATTTTGGTGCAAGGGGCTTTCAAAAAACCATGAACAATCAGTTTGTAATGTTTTTTTAATGAAGATCCCTGAAAAAAGCACGCTTCATGGCACATAGGATTGTACCCACTTAATATCTCCAGAACACATTGATCAATGAAGATAACATTTTTTGCACTTTTACACACTACCGAGATGTACACATAGTAACATTTTCAGGTTGAAAGACTGAGTCTTGCACATTCTAGAACTGAAGCAAAAATAGTGACTTTTGATAAATTCAATATTTTATATCTGGGTGTCCTGAAATAGATAGAAGGTTGAAAATTTCACCATAAGTAGAACCAGCAGATATACGTCCCTTTCTAAATCTTCAGTTCTGTAGAATCTCAGGAAAACCGTATTTTTGATGAAAATTCTTGTTTTTAATCAGCATCATGTCCTGAGAAACGCGGGCGGCTTTCAGATTGACACTTG